GGTTGTGTTTTCAGATGAAAACAAACAACAGCAATATGCAGCTGAAGGTGTTAGTATCTTTAAACAGACCTTACAAGAGTATATTCCCATAAACATCAGACACAACTTTCTATCAGTCAGAATTCAAAATGCACCAATGGGAATTCCTAGATTTACACATGTTTGAGACCACAGAGTCACTACTGACTGGAAAGAGGCCCCAAAGATGTGCTTCTTCTGTGACAAAGCAGATCATATAAAAAAAAACTGCCCAGACTACAAACTTTCAGTTGAGGCTAGAAACCTATACAACTGTGAAAAGAACAAAAGAAACAAGAAAAAATTTAGCTCCAACAACACATAGAGGAACCTTTTGAATTCAGTTCAAAAAATCCCTATGTAAACAAGGAACTAAAAAACAAAAATACTATGAACTCTATGGAAAAACTTGAAACAATGAACACAGAAGATGATAACATCGTAATGCAAAACAAAATAACATCAGACACAGAGATGTCAACAAGCAACAATGAACAAGAAAGTCAATCAGAACATCAAACAGAATCAACTGAGGACAAGCCAAATATGGAACATGAAAACATATCAGTGTACTCACTTGCAAGTTTGTACAACAATGTATGGGCAAACAATACTGATCCTATAGATAAAGAGAATGAACAAGGTTTTACTGTGGTTTCCAGAAAAAAGCATATAAATAAAAGCAGAATCACAACCCCAAAAGTGGGAAGAACTACAGTCCTAAAGACATCAGCTCTCTATACAAAAGCCAGAGGACTGCAATAGGCATAACCTCAACCTCTACTTTTTAAATTATTTTTTAATGGTTAAAAAAATCAAAATTGCATCACTAAACGTCAAAGGACTAAACAACAAAGAAAAAGCATACAAAACACTTACACTGTTAAAATCATACCACTTGGACATAATTATGATCCAGGAAACTAATTTAGAAAATATCCATACAAGAAACTTTTTAAAACAAATATGGGGGTTTGACTCTTACTGGACCTCCAAAACAGCAATACTTACAGGAAATCATGATATAAAACTGGAAAATATTAAAGAATCCCACCATGGACGAGTAATATCAGCAAACCTCATACACAAACAATACTCTTTTCAATTAAACAACATATATGCTCCTCCAAACACAGAGGACAGAGTACACTTTTTTAATAATTGGAACCTGCAACTTAATGAGGAACACATTAACATAGTAGCAGGTGACTTTAACACAAATCTGAATCCACAAAAAGATCGTATTAGCCATGCACCAATTGCTAATGATCCTTTGAGAAAATTACTAAAAGAAATTACTTCAAACCTGATTGATACAGCATTACTATTAAACAACCAGGAACCTTTTCTTACTTATCATCAAAACACAAGAGGAAATTATAGTATGGCTACAAGGCTTGATTACATCTTTATCGATGCCAATTACAGCCAGTACTGCAAATATACTACCACACAGTTTGGCAACTCTGATCACCTAATAATAGAATGTGAACTAAACTTTACATCGGAGTCACCTAGAGCCAAACAATAGAGATTCAACAGAAATTGCTGGAATAATAAACAATTAAAAACAGAAGTAATTAAGAAGATAAAGAGCTTTGCAGACTTCTCAAAATGAGATTTAACTAAATGCAGAATACAATCAATAATTAGAGCCTTTAGGCCTCTTTCTGCATCAGAAAAGAAGATACAAAAGCTCCAAAAAGAATTAACTAAACTAAACAACAAATTGGCTAAGGAAGAAAGCTCAAAGTATCTTCTTAAAGAAAAAGAAAGCCTTAGCATACAACTTCAGGATGAACTTCATACTCTTTCTGAGAAATGGCAACTTAGATCCAATGCTA